GGGGGGTTCTTTCTTTCTTTTCATTTATCTTGGCGGGAAAGGGGGAAAGGGGGGGGGCTTTTTTTTAATTTTTTTTTTTGGTTTCTGAATCAGTACTGGATGTTTTATAAGAAGTGCTCATTCAAGAGCAAGATTATTTCTCAATTATCAGGCATCTGGTGCTACTCAGAATCAAATTTAAGTTTAAAAAGGGAAAGTTCTCATATCATCAATTCAACTTATGGAAAAAGTGACTACGTAGATTTAATTGTTGTTTATTCAGCCTGATACGCAATTAAAGCATCTGATTTCTAAAAGAACAAAAAACAATTCGGCTGTAGCTGTAATTTCTAAAAATCAAATTGGTAAATAACAAGTAGGCCTATTGTTTGCAAGTCTACTGCATAATTATTCATTAACATACGAATAGTATTTTGCAATGCAACTTTGAATATGCTGGAAAATGCACTTTTTCTTTTTTCCATTTCTCTTTTCTTTCTTTTCTTTTGTTGTTGTTGTTGTTTTTGTTGTTTTTGTTGTTGTTGTTGTTGTTGTTGTTGTTGTTGTTGTTGTTGTTGTTGTTGTTGCACGTGTATTGTTTTCTGTCCTTAATTTGTTCACACATTCCTTGGTTTGTATATTATTTGTTTATCGGCAGTTCATTATTTTGCAGATTGATTCATCTCTTCATTCAATTAATCATTTACTCCATTACTCCTTCACCTACATACTCATTCACCTATACAATGAATCATTCATTCACCCATTCTGTCAATCATCCATTCACTCATTTACTCGTCCATTCATTAAACCTTCCACTTATCATTCTCTCAATCTTTCACCTATCTATTTGTTCTCTCACTCATTCTTTAAGTCAGTTACTCACTCATCCACCCACCCACCCAGTCCTTCATTCATTCATTCATTCATTCATTCATTCATTCATGCATGCACATACACTCACCCACGGTATACTTCAACATGCTCTACATCTTCGTAACAACTTAACAATAATAACAAGTTGGTGGTTGGAGGGTGCTCTGGTGTGGTTTGCTTCTTCTTTCCAATCAAACATCTGTCATCTTTATTTGTTCTCCTTCTTTCTTGTGTTTGTTACTCTCTTGTAACACCTCTAATCTTTATATATGACCTCATTGTGTTACAAGTGCCGTAAAACGCCTACTAAAACAAAACAGTAATAATAATAATACTTTTAACCCTATCCGTATGCCATGGGATAATTTTGTACCCCGGGGGTTTTATTCTCCACATTTTAGAATACTTCTAGTACGAAGATCTCTTTGAAACTTTCAATATTATTTCTCAAAAAATCATTTTAACAGACTGCTGTGCAAAGCGGATAAACGAGTTAATTTCATCTTTGGAAAGTGGTGGCACAGAGTTCCCCACGTCGTAAGGATACGATAGTAAAACATGACGTACGGATAGGGTTAATATCCTCATAAGTACTCACCTGCAAGTCTGGAAGTCTCTTGGGCTGAGTCTTCGTGCTGGCCTGGTGATGGTGATGGCAGTGGTAGTGGTTGTGGTGGTGGTGGCGAGGAGTCCCGGCGACCCAGGATGCTGTCTATGCTGTAAGACACGCACCGCTTACCTGGGGGTCGAGAGGTCGTCGTGGTGCTGTTGTTGTTGGACGCTGGAGGCAGCTCGGACGTCGGTGAAGCTTGTGGGTGAGTGGCGGGGAAAGAGCTGCTGCTGCTGGATATTGGAGGCGAGGATGACGAGGAGGCGGATGAGAGCGTTGACGTCGATGATTTCGGTGATGACAGCGGCGATGGTGGGGATGATGATGGGGAGGTTGGGATGGTGCAGCAGACTGTGACTTTAGTCTCCATTGTGGTGACTTGTTTTATTTTTGGTTTTTTGTTGTTGTTGGGTTTTTTTGGTTTTTTCACGAAGTGAAGTCCAATTCTGGAGGCTTATACGTGCTCAACAGTGATACTACAACAAATTGGGATAAATAGTCATACAGATATTGAATTTGTATGCTATTTTCCAAAAGCTGGTTGTATCTTTGCTGTAATTGTTTTGCAGTTGTTTCCGGTACAATTTACTCTTTCATGAACAATTCATTAATTCACCCCCAGAGACGTCCACTTTCTCTTTCTTTCACTGATATTCAGATATGACTTTCAACATTTTGTTCAGTTACAAACATCTTCTGTTGTTCGTGTAAAACATTTAACTTATCTCCTCTCCCTTCACAAATGGCTCATTCAGAAAGTCCGTATCAAAATCTATTTTAAAATCCTTATATATCTCATTTCGTGGTTTTGCACTTGGTTGACAACGGTGCAGTGATAAAATGCTATCTTTGAAAGTTGATGTAACACAGAACAAATTCTATTTCTGTTTCGAAATTTATCACAATTTCAAAGAATCAAAAGCACGGAAGCTATAACAACAAACATTGTCCTTCTTTAGAAGTATAACTGCTCCTCGTCGGCTGGGTCTTGCTTGTCTTTAATACCAAACTGTCAAGAACAGCTTCATTGCAGTCGTGTTCATTTTGTCTTCTCATTTATATCCAGCTAAAAACAGCCAACCAGCAAATGGTCGAGCGGTGAACTGCGGTACAGATTTCGGGAGAAGAAGAAAGAACTGTAAAAAAAAAATCCCCGTCCTCAATACCACGAGACGGACGGAATGCCTGTGTCAAAAGTTAGAAGGGACAAATACGTCGCTAATTAGCCTATTACGCGGAGAATCGAGCAACACTCACGAATCAATCGGCCTGGGAAGAACTTGCCCGCCCTGAAACGGGAAGGACGCGAAACAGGAATCAGCCATTGGCTGGCCAGCCCGCCTCGAGTTACCCAATAATAGTGTCGAGTTTCTGTTGGCTATGGGATTATCATGGGCCCCCCTCCCCACGTGCTTCCGGCGAGGGGCTTGATCGCCAGGGCGGGTGGAAAAGTGGGCGGGGCGCTGCCCGTCGCTCGCCTGAAAAGAGGGAAAAAGCCGAGGGTATTGCTTCCCGGGGGCTGGCTGTACATTGAAAACTAATCGACGGTAAACTGTGGCGGGTGTGATTGAGTTAAGAGCCGGATCGGAGTGACAATTACTTGGCTTTAAGCCCATGACTACCCTCCCCCC